CTTAATTACTAGATAAAATCCGCTTAGCATGAATGCACATGTCGGTCTAGTCGTTTTAATTAAGTAGCGAAGATTAGGCGCTGCTTGTGTTTCGTTGAGTTGACGGGTGCTAGTTCCACAGAACAGTATTAAACAACACACAGCTATAATGCAGTCGTACTAGCAACATAACCACGAGTGAAGCCATCGCACTCACTCGTGTAATACTAACGAGCTTTCAACAGCTTCAACATGTCCATCAAATGATCATCTGGTGAACAGGTGGCAAGAAACTTCACAGATCAACGGTGATAGCTAAAAATGATTGTATCGAGTAACGTTAGACCAGTATATGACATCAGATTGGTCATCCAAATTTCGTAGGGTCAAAGGATTATCGTAATTTCACCTTCTAGCTTGCAGTGGATCCCCTCTACACATTCGATCACTATAATAAACTGAATTTCTGCAAGGCGCATTGTTATCCTTGTTCGATGTCGGTCGATCATAACGAACTCGGGAGTATGACCCTGTAGTATTTGGCATCGTGTAAAGTCAAATGACGCTTCGTAGTCAACTTGGGCTCGAAGAGTCATGACTTTAGTCACTAAGATTTGTAAAAAGATACGAGAATCTCATCACCAGAGGCAGCAATTTACAGATAAGTAATGATGGGTGGAGACACCTTTGCCAAGAGGCCTGCGAATTCTCGAGTCTATATAAAATGATAAGCTCGCCATACCGTACTGACCCAACCAATTTTGTGATGAATCGACATGCTGTTGCAATTTTGCAATATTGTGGAAACCACGTCTTGTGAACTTCTTGGCTTACTGACGGTCGTTGTAAAATTTACGTCTTGGGACCTTCTCAGACGTCTAATATTTGTTCCGTTATGTCGTACAAGAAATGGAATATGAAGCAAGACATCCATAGACGTAGTGTTCTGATTATTTGACATCTATCCCAAATCTGCGTTATTTTGCATCCTAACGAGCAATTTGTTTTCCCTTCGATAAGAAAAGATTCAACCTTTTTTGTACGTGTCACCTCGAGTCATCACGAAAGACACCAAGGGACCCAAGTTTGAGTGATCGTGTCTCATACGGATGTCTCTACGTTCCGCCAATGAGGTTTTTAATTAAAGTTTTCAGCCAACGATGAAACGGACTTGTATTGGTGAAGTTATCAGACAAAACCTAAATGTATACTGTGATCGATGTCTTCATATAGCGAGGTGGCCGTGTGCAAGTAGCAAGGTGTTAAATTAGATCAATAAAGCATGTACATCTTGTTTACCCTGACTGGGTTTCAAGAACTTTACTAAAAACCCTAAGACTTGGTTTGGTGGCTCTTACATCAGTCTAAGCCAAGTCTTATCGACAGTTAAAGACCTGCACGCATATATTTGGTAGAAAATGCTTTCTAAGGCGAACGTTTCGGCACGTTTAGCCAAGTTTTATTGCAAAATAACAAGTAGCATCCCAACTTCTACGAACATTAAACGCTTCTACCGATACAGTACAATCGACCTACACTAGACGCACTGTAGGAAGGTTCTTCGTAGTCTCAAGGGATTCGAAGGTGAAGAGGAAGGCGGGTCTTCAATTAAGATACGCTACGTCAAGTAAATTTATATCTGTATCGATTGTATTAAATGTCATTGAAAATACATCTATATTTTCCTATGTGACTAGTTTGTGCTACATCATACAATATCATCACCTGCACATCACCTAAAGCGCACGTCTGCCGCAATTGGTGCACTTTGACCCATGTCGATTCATGAGTGAAGTATTTTTAGAGAGTATATTTATAGTTAATTATCATAAAAAATACTAAGCAAGGACAATAATGGACAATGCAAATAATTAGGATGATACAATTGGTGACCAACTTTTACTAATGACATGTAACGGCACTCCCTGTTACAGTTGAGATGTGATGTTCATCCACAGACGGAAAGAATTAAAACACGGTGATAAAAATGAAATGGATGGGTCAGACATATCGTGTGCCTACGTCCTTTTTGTACACTTTCAATGTAAGGTCTACAAACAGTCAATCATTGTCAAAAAAATAACGTAGTGGGGTACATGACGTAACGGAGAGGGGAGGCTTGCGTATCATTGGCATTCGACTAGATGTAAAAAAGATTTGAGCTGGGTCATATTATATTTATATACGCAACAATGCCATCGTTGACGATATTGAAAATTAAAATTACCATTAAAAGCATCATTTGGTAGCATCTGACAGCACGCTGCGCATTGGTAATATACGCTAACATGTTGACTGCTTACCACTTATGTAGCATCACTATTGACAAACTCAGAAGGTATTAATTGTACTTCGTATAGTAATCGTATTCCTACCAAACAAGCGCATGCACTTCCTCTACATGAAAGAGTACGTGAGGTATCACAGCACTGCGACCATATGCATGAGTGCAAATTTTTGCGTAATTACTAGTGTGTGAGATGACCCGGTGCAACACGACCAGTCCTTCAGGCTTTCAGCGGCAGCTGAATCTTGTCTACCACTTATTGTATAGGATCTGGGCACCACTTCGCGTCAAAACTTCTTTATCAAGCCTTGACATCGCTCAACGGATGACCATACGCTGTCGGAGGTCATTCTTCTCACGTATTGATGCGCTAGATACCTAGGTATTTCACTGCCTCTAGAGGGTTTGGCACTATCTACCCAGAAGGTCAGCAACCAGCGGCTTGCTACTGCTCGGCCGTATATTTGGATGTACAAATGTTAATTTACTTGTTGATGTCATCCTCACTTGTGCTTTTGCTACAGATTAGAGCAAGAAAGATGTTGATACTTACATGACGTTTCGTGTCGTATGACCTTGACAGCTTAGTTCGAGCTCCAAAAAATCGTAATTTTACGGTCAGGGTAGAAGGGATTTCCTGACCTAAATGTCTTTCTTATAATCGTAAATATCGAAATAAAATTATGAACCACTTCGCGTTTGAAAAATAAAGGATGCCCTTTAAATAACTTTGTTTGTTTGATTGATATCATGGATGTTTTTAATATTATGCAAAAACAAATCTAAAGTCGCAATTAAAACTTACTTATATTTATTGCGATTGTTTCCTTATTCCAAATGGCAGGCATTTAGAGATAGGCAGACATTTCGTTGCCTTTTGTGATTTTAGTACCCTTCTATTAATGCAATGTGTGCGACGTACTTCATCTGCTCAATCGATCTATCATATACGCACTTATGTAATGTGTGTATACACTATCTGCTTATGCAAAGGAACGACCCATCACAAAGTGGTGAGATCAAGCAGACAATATTAACAATTTGTGCGCTCTATGCTTCAGTAGAACCGACTTCAGTGGCTGAGTGGTAATGCACCGGCACTGGGACCAGGAGGTTTCTTGAACGGTACACGCGTGGGGCGGAACGGGGACATGTCGCCGGAGATGAGCCCATTTAGTAGACGAGCAACCACCTAATGGGTGGCCGCCCTGTCAACCCGCACCTAAGTGTGATATTGGGACGACCGGAGACCGTACTGGCCGAAAGTTCCATAGTGTAATGAGGGGTGTAGATTCTCTAAGGAGTCTAAACAGTCACACTACTCGCAGAAAAGCCCAGGGTGATTTGAAGACTACGCGGCGTGAACCTCTCTACTGATCAACGACTTTGAAGCAGCACTTCATGTACCTTGCTATGGCTTCTACGTCGCACACTTCGCACATTTCTGCAAATTACTTTGCGACTTGGACGGAACTGTTCCGGGCTTTGATACGAGTTCGGTCGGTACGCAACTCATATCAATTGTCTGTATATCATGGCTTTGCCACGTCAGAGCGGAATCCGTGTATTTTCGACTTGTGTTGGACTCAAGACCGCTCATAAAACACACTTTGCATTTTTCGTGAGCCGACACTTAGATCGTTAACGCCGCAAAAGTTTTGCGCCTATCATACGAGACATTTGAAAATACACGTAAGGGCACGGGTTCTTCAGCCACGACACATACTACCAGAGTTCCATGATGCGTATGCCTTGGCTAACAATGGCTAGGAAGGAGAAGACGCACCTGTAGAAGCTTGATTGCCAGAGACCAAAAGCTTGATTGCCTTGACTACAAGCTATAACTTATTGCTATGCAGCGCGAGTGGTGCAATGTATTGAATGTGCGTTGCAAAGAATGCCAATTCGCTGCTTTATAGCTTTTACACAGACATGCTTGGCTCAATCCGTCCTTCTGGATGCGGCTACTTTCAAGCGCCGAACCTTCATTTCAAGCACAGTCCGAATGGGCTTTGCGTCAACTGGATTGATATATGCTTGTTTGACTTCACTAAATTCGTGTTTGACCTCATCGAGCAAAAGGTTGTCAGAATGAGAGCTGCATTACAAAAATGGATTACTTGATCTCCGTCGGGAGCGTCGATGTTGCTTGCAAGACGGGCAACAGCTGACAGTTCTATGGCAGACTGCAGCTCGTCGACGAAGTTGCCCGATTGCAGTGAGTTGGCAGAATCCAAGCCAAGTTCTGGCAGGCCAAACAGCTGTTATAGCTCATGTTCGTCCATCCGTCAGTTTTTCGTGCAGACAGTCAAGTAAAAGCACGATACGTGACTTCTAGTGCTCGGAACAGAGGTACGTGGTGATGATGCGTGTTGATTAAACCGTCTGGTGTTAACGTGTTTGCACCATTGCAACTTGCGCTAGCTCGAGCGCGACAACTTGACACACAAGTAACGGGCTCGACATCTGGACGCTGTCGGTACGTCGTATCACTTGCATCAGCAGCAACAGTCAGCACGGGCTGTTTGACACAAGCATTCTTGCTTTTCCTTGTCCCCCGATACGGCTATGGGCTACCATCAGCACAGCGCGGGCGTCACGCATCACTTATAGCGGTAGCTACCCCGTAGTGTAACTGCTTCGAGGAATACAAGCAAAATGCATTTTGTTTCACCCTTAGTCAACCTCGTCGCTGTCTTCCCCAGGTCTTTTATGTTTGCCTTGTGCATAGCGTTTAGGTGCTGCGAGCTGCCGCATCAGGCCACGTGCCGTCTTCTAAAACTGGCCAATTGGTTGAGTTTCGCTCGTGTGCCGGTACTAAAATTTCGCGCATACTGACATCCAAATCCGATAGTTCTGGACACACGGCGAGCAAAACAGATGCGTGAATTCACCGATCACAAGCCACTTTGTCACTTCTTGCTTACCTTCCAATGTGAAATTGAATAGCGCAGGTACGGGTACGTCGTCTGGCAGCTTTAGATCTTTCTGTCGCAGTTCGTCGAAAAACGGGTGCGCAATGGCCTCGAGCGGCTTCACGCGTCTTCATTGTGCACAAACAGCAAACCATCAGAATTGTCAAGCACGTACGTTCCAGCATTTCCACCATACTACGTACTTCTTCGGATCGTATACGAGCATTTCGGAGAGCAAGTTGACCGCTTCAGGAAAAGTCCTCGAGCGAAAGATGTTGCTCCAGGAATGCGCCTTTATCTGTGGAAACTGAAACTCCGTGTAGCTCGGATTCATCGCTTCGATCTCCTCGCGCTGCGGCGTACCCAGAACCTTGATAATTTCCACCAGTTGATCCACACCACTCTCGCCAGGAAACAAAGGCTGGCCGAGAAGCAGCTCGGCGCACACGCAACCTAGAGACCAGATGTCTGGAGGCCACACAACAAGGATTTTGACGAACTATGTCAGCGTGCAACACCATGGTCAAGGACAAGACAGCACGCACGCACGCACCAATAGCTGTCGTATAATCCGTAGCGCCAAAGATAAGTTCCGGTGCGCGGTAGTAACGCGAACAGATGTACGACACATTTGGCTCATTCTTCTGCAGCACTTTGGCGCTTCCAAAATCGCAAAGCTTTACCACATGCGACTTGGGGTCCAGCAACAAGTTCTGCGGCTTGATATCGCGGTGACAGATGCCCATTGAGTGGATGTACGCCAGCGAGCGGCAGATTTGGTAGATGTAGAGCTTCACGAGCACCACGGGCATGTACTGCTTCGCCTTCTGCAATTGCCTTGCCACGCCGTAGACTGTGTCGGGAATGTACTCCAGTACCAAGTTGAGATACAGTTCATCTGGCTTCTCCCCGTTGCAGTAGAAACAGTGCTTGAGCTGCACAATGTTCACATGATGCAGCTGCCGCATGATCTGCAGTTCTCGGTTCTGCCCCACCCCACCACACCAATCGAAACCCAAGCACCGCAAGACACACAAAAAACCAGACACCCCGCGTCAACCACACACACAAACACACATCAACCACCCTACTCGTTCCAGCAACTCATTCGTCCGCTCGCACCTTGAAGCGCTTGTCCTGCAGCACCTTCTTGATCGCGACAATCTCGCCCGTTTCTTCCACTTTGGCCTGAAACACAACGCCAAACGATCCGTTCCCAATGATCCGCTCGGCCGAATAATGGATTGTTTTCCCCTACACAAAACGCCCACAATCCCAAACGAAAAACACCACCCGCACCACAAAACACCCACCCGCACCCAAATAAAAAACCCACACAACACACAACGAAAACACGTCACAAAACGGAAAACAATCGCAGCATATACTGTCGTGCGTCCAATCGCATCGTCTGCTGCTACGTCCTCTTCCTCAACAGACAGTGTGTATGTGTGTGTGTGACGTACGTCGGCCAACGTGTGCGCCGAGTCGCCGACAGTGATCCCCGTGCTCTCGTTGCGCATGTCCTCCTTCGACTCGACTGCAGCGGTCGCAGCCGCCGTCTCGACGCTTGCGGCCTCGTGGTCGACGCTCGGCGGCGGGTGCGCCGCGGCGTCGGCCGCGTTGTCGCTGGGCGGCGGCGCCGCTGCGCTGTCGCTCATGGAGAAGGGCAGTGCGAGCGCGGGGGGGCGCGGGCGGTAGCTACGGACGGGGAGAGGGGCGGGCGGAGACGGCGAGGGAAGCGCACGCGACTGCCGGGTGGGGTACTCGCTCGTCGCTCGCTCTTTTTTTTTTTCGTCGCGTAAACTATGTGTTTTATATTACGAACGGCGCGTTTTCTCCCGAAAGTGGTGGGGGCGGTGTGATTGGTTGAAATACAGCATACGCCCACGTGGTTTGGGATGGAAACCAGACGATCCGAACTTCAACGTGAGGCGAGAGATAGCGCGCGGGAGATAGAGAGCGACATGTTTAGGGGCTTTGTCTGGGGATGTGCGCTGAGATGGGTGGGGTGGGGTCTGTATTGTGGTGGTCTGCTATTGTTCTTGTTCTTGGGTTTCGTATTGGATGAAGCAGAAGGGGCGACGTCGCAAGCGAGCGCGACATGTCGGCGCAACGACGTGGCGTTTCTTTTTTTCTCAGTATCTTCCGACAGCCCCAGACAAAGGAACAGTCGTGACGACGGCGGTGTGTCGGTAGTGACAAAGCCGCTATGACCGACGTGGAGCCAAACGACAAGAACGTTTGCGGCGATGTGCACTTGTTTTCCGCCTTCTTTCTCGCGAATGACGTCATGGTATAGCCAAACCGGCACCAAGTGGGGCCAGTGGATAGATAGTGACAAGTGCGTGTTCAGCAGCTATGGTTTCGACTGTGTGTGACCTGTCTGTCTCGCCTTCGACTACCATCTGCTCTCAAGTCTCGAGCTACTTGCCCCTGCCGCCTAGCCAAACTACAGCCAGTTGGCACTGCAGCGACAAGGAACCAGTACATGCGACGGACTTCGCATTTCTGTTCGTATCTTAGATAACGACTAGCAGCGATACACGTGCGTCTGGCGGAAAAAGTTCCTTCTGTCTGTCACAGCGGCTGCAGAGTAAGTACGTGCTTCATGAGGCGCTGTCGGCAAGCACACTCATCCATTACCGCTTCTTGCGCGACACTGCCACACGAAGTTGTTTACGACGGATTGCTTACCAAAGGGGTCAATGCTGCCAGTGTCTGCCACGGGGTCCCTTCCAAGGGAATTGATTCGTCACCGTACAACTAACTCTCTTCCAGCTTTTTGCTTCTGCGATGCTCAAAGCTTTTATCGCGGACGAACCCGCTTTTCAAGCTCTTGATCCATAACTGCAACTGTTGAGAACTCTCTGCGCTGACATCAAAGCATCTGAGCTGTTTGAATCGGATAGAAGCGCCATTTAAAGTGGGCACCGTCACGACCGCATTGATATGCTCGTGCGCTTACCGCAGAAGCAAATTTGACAACAGTTTGGAACAGCCGCTACTGTCCCTATCTCTACCCTCATCTGCCCGTCGCGAACGCGATCTTAGCGTTTGAACCTGATGGGTGCACACGTTTAGTCTCCCGGTTCACAAAAATGAGGGCACAGACACTGCAGAGCGTGCAGCCTTCTCGTACCGTTCGTTGGTGGTGAGTTGTAAGTAGCTTTGAGACTGCTATTGCTAGTTTTTTTACTCCAGTCTACGATTCCCTGATCAAAGAAAGCATCAGCAGCGATAAGACCATATGTAAGCTCCATCCGCGAAGACCCGGTGACCCGCACACAATGTTGATCAAAAGCCACCCAGCACTTCTGTCCTCTTCATTTCATGGAGCTTTCGTATGAGTCTCATCCACCGCTGAGTCTGTCTGCGTGTTATTCGCGTCTGCTGACGGTTCGGGTGACCTTACGCAAGCAATCCACGCACAGCAGTGCGTTTTTGTGCGACAGATCGTCTAAAACTTTGCTGGATGTGATGTACTATCTGACGATTGACGCAGCGTGCACAAACTCTGCTGACACTCCACACCGTCGACAGGTACTGGAAGAAACGGGCTCACACGATCTGTGGGCCCATGAGGGCCACCACAACAGGATTATGCCACGCTACACAATGCAAATGCCTTGGATGGGATATCCATGAACACGGAATATAGGGCTGGTCATGTACCCCACGCGGACATTCGCTATCCAAGCAGCAAGGTACCAGCTTGATCCGTGGAACTTTGCCGTTGTACGCAGACCGTTTGTTGTGCAGTACGACGACAGTCGAAGTCAATGAGTGATCAATAAATAAATACCTGGTTCCCTTTTGCTGTTACAGTATAATCCATAAAGACCAGTCCAGCCGGTGATGGGTACCTGAACTATCTATCTCCCTACTTCCAAAGCCAGAATCGTTCTACTAGACCAGTTCCAGCTGCTCTATACTACTTGCACTGATTCAGCCCGCACAAGTTGTCGGATAAGTGCTTTTTCGGGTCACAATCTTCGTATTCGGCGAGGAAAAGCATGCGCAACACATCCACAAGCGACTTTCGCTCGCTTTTCTGAAGCTCCGACTCCACGCTGGGACCACGTGCGTATGATGGCGTTCGAAGGCGGGCATCAATCATTTCGAACACTGCACTGCGCAACTCCTGCACCATCACTGATGAGCGGTACGACGCGTGAAAAACCGCCCAGTCATTCACACGCAGACCAATCGTCTCATTGCCGTCCTTGTCGGGACGCCGCAGCTGTGGTAGTAGCTCCAATCCATGGCTAAACAGGCACACGGCCAAAGGCAGCACCAGGCTAGAGGCTGGGAGATATACCTGCGACGTGTGCAGCTTCACTGAATACGTGAGAAAGCTGCTTGCATGAAAACTCTCGGTCTTGAAGTTGATCGAGCCTGGATGCACGGCGACGATGGAGTGGTCGCGTTCCCGCAACACCGCGCGCTTAGGTCCTCGTGCCATTGGTGGCTCAGCATGGACCAGATTCGGAGCTAGACCGGCAAAAAGGACAGCAGACATCGTTGCCAGCTGCTGAAGAGTCATGCGCTCATTCCCTACAGGCTCAGATGGCGGCAAGAACCCGAGATGCGCCACAAGTCCTCGAAACTGGCGTTTGAGCTTGTTCAATTCACGCAGCGCCCGACGACTCAGAAAATTCTCGTGGCAAAAGCTGTTCTCAGTTACCCGGCCATTTCCGCCCTGATGAACAACGTAGCGCCAGGCCTCAAAAGCATTTACATCCGTGAGTAAATCACTCGCACCAACTGCGAATTTCCGGCGAGCTAGTTTCGTTTCAGCTTGACGACCGAAAGGCGCCACAAAAGGAGATTTTGTCTCCAGTACAGCGGCACAGGTGCTCGCAGCGTCGAACACGCCAAAAATTGCTCCAAGCAAGAGTAACTTACCAACCTTTACATCAACAGGCAGTCTAGCCAAGTGTGCGCCCAGTTCTGTAAGCGCTTCGTCCTCGCGGTTTAGCGCACCAATTTCGAAAAGCTCCTCCAACGCGTTCCGAATACTGAAGTCGTCAGGCGGGTCTAGACATGCCTGGAGAAATTCGCCACACCCTCCCTTCTGCTTGTTGCCTGCTGCGCCAAACGTCTTGATCTGTAGACAGAGCGACGTCAACGGTGCACGCTGGATCTCAGGCACGGGTTGCTCGAGCATGACGGAATGGAAGACCGACCGCGGAAAAAGGCGGAAACAAGAGCCACCACTCGTGCGACCTGCACGACCAGCTCGCTGCTTCGCATTTGCCCGCGCGACCCAAATCTCGTCAAGCATATTTGTGCGATGCTGGGCATCATGGCTCATCTGCTTGACGCGTCCAGTATCGATGACAACCTTCACATCGTCGATTGTCAGCGACGTCTCAGCAATGTTAGTCGCTGCAATGACTCGGACGACCCCTGAACGCTGTCGGAAGATGCGCTGCTGTTCTTGCGACGAAAGCGATGAGTGAAGCGGTAACAGCTCGAACTCGCGGCCGTGCTGGTCATGGCGTAATAGACGACTACCTCCTAGCATATCGAGTAATGTCGTGATTTCTTGAAGGCCTGGAAGGAACACCAGTATCGACGCACTCTTCCGCTGACCACCTTCCCCCGACAATGACAGCAGACCTGTTTCCAGAGCAATGTGTTCCACAAGTGCTTGAATGAGCTCGTAATTGACGACCGAAGGATCAATGCGCTCAAGAGCAAGCAGCGTTGATTCGCTATACTTTTCAGCTAGTTTGCTTTGCATCTCATTCACTGCCGTCTTTTTAGATGACGAAGAAGCGGTCCATGACACTTGCTGAGTGTAAGACGCACCCCCGCGACCTGAGATGGTAACTTGCGTGGACTTCCTGTCCATGCCACGTCCATCTATCGGTATGTAAGCGGCGGACTCCTCGTCCACAACAAACTGGGTCTTCTCAAGCACGTCCTCGAGGTAGTACTGCTCCACAGGAAAGGTGCGGCCAGGCACTTCAATCATGGGACACACCGCAGCTCCGCCAAAGTACTTCTGAAAGCTTGCAGCATTGAGTGTGGCGCTCATCAGGATCACTTTCAGCGGTGGTAACGTACCTCCAAACTGCCGGCATCGCGCCGCACTACCTTCCGTCAGGAACTGGCGCAGCATGGCTAGCAGCACATCGCTCTGAAGATCGCGTTCATGCACTTCATCGACAATCACGTGGCTCACTTCCTTGCCCAACGTGCGCGGATCTTGTAATTTACGTAGTAAGATACCGGTTGTGCAGAAGAGCAGGCGAGTGCGATGAGTCATGCGCGTTTCGAGACGGATTTGGAAGCCCGTTAGCGAATCGCCCGTACCCATGTTTGACTCACCTAGCTCTTCGGAGACTCGTTCTGCTAGACTGATGGCGGCCAGTCGGCGAGGTTGAGTGCACACAATCTGACCACGCGCGCCTCCTGTTTCGGAAAGCAGCAGCTCCTCGAGCAAGTATTGCGGCACTTGGGTACTCTTGCCGCAACCAGTTTCGCCAGATACGAGGATCACATCGTGATGCGAAAGCATCTCCACGACTTGACTCTTCAACGATGCAATGGGTAACGATTCGCGCTGCTGAAGCTTTGCTCGGTACGCGCTTGACCGCATTTGCTTCTGCAGCTGTTCTCGTAGCTGGCAAGATAGTTTCAATGCGGCATTCCGGTCACTTTCACTTTCTTCTTCGATCTCAATAGGCGCGACAAGACCCTCACTTGCTTTTTCCTCCTTGATACTTGTGTTCTCCTCATCAGATAAGTCGGCGTCCCAGTCGTCGACATGCCAACTTTCCATCAATTTCGTTTCAACACTTGCAACGCCCTGTTTCACACCCGGTGGCGGATGCTGTGCAGCAAGTTCTGGTACATCTACAACAGCTCGTTTGTTAGCAATCTCTTCCGGAAGCGTGCTGAAGATCTCCTGTATCAGTTCATCATGCTTATCGCGATCGGCAGCTACTGCTGCCGCCTCTTGCTCTTCGCGCTCTTTGGTCCACTGCTGCCACATTTCGCGGTACAGCGGGGGCAGCACTCGATATAGTGGCAGGTCCGACGCTAACTCGAATAGAGCACTCGTAGACACGGCATCTTTTGCACTCGATATAGAATCAAACCCTTGCGCTGCATCACGGGCATCCCTCACAGTGACCTCTTGCTTTCCACAGACTTTGTTGCCTAAAACGACCGAGTACAAGTGTCCTCCACCTGGTGGACGGACCAGCTTCTTATACAGCGGTTTCGACAACCCATTCTTTCGACAGTGCTGCTCCAAGTGGTCACGCGGCGACTTTCCTGTCCAAGTCACCGCTTCCGCAGACTGCGCTCGAACGGCTTGAGCTTCTGCCGCCTGGACCTTCAGCATGTTGCGACCTTTCTTGTTCTTGCCCTTTTTACCCTTCAACCCAGCCAGGTCGGCCGCTGCTTGGACTGCAATAAGTGCAGCTGTGTCGCTTGCTGCACTCTTCTGGATCTCGTTCGCACCTACTACAGTCGACTCTGCCTCCTCCAGAAAAGCCAAGAGACCACCATCGCTGTCACCCTCTTCCTTCACATCCTCGGCTCGAACAATGGAGTCCAACAAATGCTCTTCTTGCTCTTCCTCAACTTCCCACGTGTCCGCAACCACCCTTGTCTCCTCTTTTGCATCTTTCAACCCCTCCTCTTCTTCAGTTATCCCAAACGCCAGCTCCAGCAACTCGGTATCCACCATCCCATCACCGGCCACTTGAGTCTGCTCCAACTCCAGCTTTTTCTCGTCCACACTTCCTACCTTCTCTTCGACCACTTTATCCTCCTCCTCCTCCTCTGTCTTCTTCTTCTTTTCCTTCTTTTTCCCTTTTGCATCCCCCTGCTGCACCGGGTCTCGCCACCCACGTGCCACGAGTTGACGCCTCGTCTGCTGCAGCTGCTCGCTCACCTCACGCAGCTTACACTTGTCCCCACTCGTCACTTTCTTCTTCTTCTTCCGACTCTGCCGGTCCTTCAGACGCTGCCACGTCGCCAAGAGCTCAGCATACTGCGCCTCCAGCTCGTCCTGCTCCCCCGTCAGCGACGGCGTCTGTCCAGTTTGTCCTGCCCGCTCGGCCTCGTCCTCGTGCCTCTGTCTGTCCAGCTGCTGCACGTACCGCTGCGTCCACGACAGCGCCTCCTTCTGCTTCGTCTCGTGCTCTCCCGTCGCTCGCGCGACTACGACCGCCAGCTCTGCTGCTTCCTCTTCCTGCCCACTCTCGAGCGCACTGTCTCTTCCCCGTCCCTCGACACGCACGTGCAGCTCGGCCACGAGCGCTCCGCGTCCTTCGGCCGTATCGTTTCCTCGTAACGGCTCTGCCGACGGCGCCCGAAGCGTCGGCGGGAGCGCTTCGCTCGTGCACTGCAGCGCCAAAAAGCTCAGCGCGTCCTCCAGTGAGTTCGTGTAGCCCAACGCCTCTTTGACGAGCGGCAGATCCACGCGGTACTCTGTTTGAAGCGCACTGAGCGCGCGCGCCAACTTCTTTGCACTGCGCTGCTGCTGCTGCACGTCAAACGGCACGACAAGAGACGAGGAGGAGGACGGGGAGGAGACGGAGACGGAGACGACGCCGGGGCGAAAACGGGTGCGCTGTGCGTCGCGGCGGGACGACAGGACGCCGTCGTGCACGAGCCGCTCGAGGTCGCGCGCGCGGAACTCAAAGCCGGGGGCCGATGCCATGACGGGATAAAATCGGGTGCGCGGGTATGGGAGGGGCGATATGACGGGTTGGGGAGGGGGTCATATGGATACCGGTTTTGTACTGGTTGCGTGCCGTCGGGGTCGAATGGCAGCAGTGTGTCGGGGGTTACGCAGTTTACTTTGTAGCTCATAGGAATGTGCTCGATCCAGTTAGCGAGCGTGTACCGATCGTCTGGGGTTACATCAGCTGCTTTCGTGAATTGTGCCAATTGTACCTCCTTGTGCTAACCGTAGAGTTGACACGCAGGAAGTCCTGTGATCAGGTGTAAACTTTCCATTCTAGCTCACGTGTGCATTCACGTTCGCCTTGTCGCACTGCGTGGCCTACTTTTGCGTACAACAAGGAAACTGTGTATGCCGCCATCGAGCACTGTTCATCACTGCAACCTTGCAATGTATAGCACGAGCACACGCTATGCGCAGCTACTACCATTGTCTCCAGAATCCATACATGCGCATGGGAACCTCAGGCAAGCACGCGACCGAAAAAAGTGACTCCAACACGGAAATGCTGTAGCAACGTTCATCCCGCATGGTCCAACAACAGGTCAAACACCAGTTGATCTCGGCCACACACAGTCAAACATAGTTGTCCAGTCTTTTGCAGTCTGCCATGACCAAAACACACACCAGCGTCCAACCAGCTGTAAAACATGCAACAAGACACGACGACCAACACATAGGCCCTCCTCGGTCTATATCGTCGTGTCTTGTTGCATACAATTCTCAAGCCTTTGCGACGCGCTCGTGGTCGGGCGGGTAGGTGGGTGGGTACAACTCGGCCATTCGCTTTCCATTCTTCCAGCAAAAGTCTCGACTGTCTAGTCTACTGTACATCAAGTTGTGCCCGTCTCGCTCCCGTAGCGTGCCCCACTGCACCCCCCTATCACGATGCGTCTCCACTTCCTGCCTCAACAGTGCTGCCACATCACCGCGCTGCTGTCTTCCAGCCCAACGACATCTTCGATCAAAACCGCTGACGTCCGCGGCCCGTCCTTGTCCCGCACCTCTGTCGAGTACGCTGCCCCGGCCACTGGTCCCCCTCAACCTGCGTCCGGCCCCTCTTCTTGCACCGGTTCACACGTCTCTCCCTCCGCTGGACACTGCTGCGTCCGCCACCACTCTGCCGTCTCGTCCAGCAGTGGATAGAAATGAGGCACGTGGACTCTTCTTACAGGCACGTGATGCGACTGCTTTGCTCCCGTCGCAGTGCCGAGCGACAGTGTCAGCGATACAGACCGAGCGGGTCCCGTGACGGAACGCATCATCACCACAGGTTTCGGATGCGTCGTAGTCGCCCCTTTGCGCCGTGGCGACCGCAGCAGGTCCACGAGTTTGGGCAGCAGTGCCCCGCGCTCGTCGTGGTCAGAACTGACGTCCACACGGAGTGGAGACGCCGCAGAAATGTCAATGTCGTCGTCGCTACTGACTGTGGAAGTTGAGGCTTTGCTGACGTTATGTGCGACTCGATTAAAGGTGCGGAGGAGCCACAGAGTGACAAGAGCAGAGGCCGTGACGCCAAGTGCGACGAGGAGGAGCTCCAGCATTTCGTCGCTTTTGCTGTTAGTAGAACAATGCAACTGCGACTTGGCGTCATTTGAACGTGTGGGTAGATGGGTCGTGTGCCACTGTGTGGGCGCAGTGAGTGGACCTGTGACAATTGGTGATTCCATAACTTTTCCAGCTGTATTCCTGTGGTAGAGAGAAGACGAGATGTGTGCTGTGTGTGTGTGCGTGTGTGTATTGTGAATCTCGTGTTTCTTGTTTGCGATATTCCGCTGAGAGAGAGGCAGTCCGTCGCAGGTAAACAAACATCCGTGACGACGTCGCGTCCTTTTTGTACCACAAAGGCGGTCATGACAAGCGCGTGCCCGTTGGCCACGCCCTTCGTCTACGCACAATGTCGGCACTGTGACCTGTGGGCTGTGACGCGAGTGCACATCGAAGGTGGCTGCCGATGGCCGCTGATGGCTGCTTGCGTGCGGCAAGGATCCTGGTGGGTTCGATTGCTTCCGAAGACGCGGTGCACCGTGTGGTGTTGCTTGCTGACAGGCGGCTGCCGAGCATCGCTGGAAGCTCAGACGGCTGGCTCGTGTCGCGACGTCGTCAGGCGATTGTCACTCCTTGCGGTCTGGCCATGGTCTGCATGTATTGCCATCTGCCACACGGCATAACTCGCACCTTTTTTCGACTCGTCTCGTCGGCTGCTACCTGTTAAGTTTGGCCACCTGCAAAGCCCAGGTGGTGATGCCACATTTCTTTTGACTGTGTGAACAATGGAATAGAGATGCGTTTGTGCCGGAAGTACACATGTGACAATGTCGGAACAGTACCTGCTCTTGGGCAACGACGATAGCATTGTGACAGAAGCATGGCGTGACTTACCCTTGATGAAGGTGACAGCGCCGCCGAGTCTATTCCGAGCTACAGATACAGCAGTCATATCCATCATGTGACGGCTCGTGTTGCTGGTGAACGGGTCACACAAGTTTGTCCGTCGCACATTGAGGACACAATGATGACGACGAAATAGACTGAGAAAGGTTTGCTTTGCGTTTATGTTTGTGTGAATCGAAAGCCGATCATGTGAGGTGGTAAGATCAGCACTGATACACTCCGCAAAACACTGTGCCGAATGCAAGTAGGAAAGAAGTTGACATCACTCGACGTCAAAGCTTGTTCTCGGACCTTGCGCTCTATCAACCTGTATCCTCGGGCAAAGCGCATGTATCCATGATGAAACGGTAGAGACACCAATCCATGATGGAAGTTGCCTGTAAAGAGCAAAACGTGCCCTTTGCTCTGTTGATCCAACAGCCATTCCAAGTGAGGGCTGTTCAAGCGCGACCCCTACTAGTAGCAAACAATCAAGCTACACAGTACACAGTTCAGTCGTGAGTCGTGCACATTGCCCGCTGTACACAAGATCATTACTTTGTGCTGCACATCATAGCAGCACGACTTGCGCTGTGAGAGAGATGCCAGTGGTCTCCATCGCGTGTCCAATGTGAAAATCTTTGCAGAGAAAGAGACGACGCAGGGGTCCACTTCGCTCGACACGTAGGTCTCAAAGCAAACAGGTCGAGTACGTTTATCTCGCTTCAACTGGCAGCATTTCTGCGAAGCTAGTGGCCGATGTTGCTTGAGAGCTACGAGACGATAGTTATGCAACATTTTGACACGCGGTCATCACGTTGCGGTCGATATTGGCACCAGTTTTTGGCTGCCAATGTGCATGTTGTCTTTGCAGATAGTATTTGTCAATAGTACCGTGAGCAGTTGGCATTCGGTCGTAGTAACAACACCTCGCGCAGTGGCTGATGCAGGACATGATACGAGCCTGCACAACCACCAGCTAAGAAGACGCGCGAAACGAGAGGTGAGTGAGAAGTTAGCACATGGGTCGATTGTTGATACGATCGATGTAGGGTTTAGAACGACTTCCAACAGCGACTTCAACTATATAACATACAACTCCTTTCTGATGTCTGAACGACATCTACCTCGTTTCGATCCCTGCGCTTACTTCCTGGCGAAGTCGCACGTGCTGTCGAATGCGCAGTTGTACAAAGTGTGGCAGCGTAGATATCTTACAATGTCATTTGTACAAGTAGGAACGTGCCCCCTTCCAACAATCTGGAGGCATTTTTATAGGAAGAAGGAGTTTATCTTAGCGACACTGTGGTTGCAACTGCATGTTTTGTGCGCTGTACTTCGCGATGAGTGATGAACGCATGCAATAGCCAGTGGTATTGCAGACTTAATGTACGCGGGTTGCCAGATAAACGGCGACAGAACAATCTTCGCACATCAAGAACAGACCGATCAATGCTGCCCTGTTTGTCACCTGCCAGTTGATCCCAGTGCACTCATCCTAGCATGCGACTTTTGGAAAGGTCGAGTGTTGCCAGTCTATACGTACGATCACAAATGGTAAACACAGTGTTGTACTTGTCACAGTAAGTTAACTTCGCAAGTCCTGAGTGTGTGATAAGGCAAAGCCATGATGTGATTGCGGCCTTCGATGTAGATCTCATGTTGAAGGTGAACCATCCGTTGATCACCCATTTCGCTCTGTATGCCCACATGCACCATGTGTAGCGATCTCGGTATACGAAAGGTGACGGGTGCAGATGAGTGGATAACAAAGATATGTCTTCGAGAAGATCACATGTGATATAGACGCATTGGACCGGCCCAGAGCAATACTGTCGTGATGACGCTGTGCACACACATAAATTAACCTGCAAGACCCTAGCTAGTAGTGGGTCTCGTTAGCACAAATATGAAAGAGATCATTCCTGCACAGTCGAGCAGCTTTCTGGTACTGGAAGGCATTAGAATGCCTTCCATAAACCAGAAAGATGCTTTTGAAAGCGCACAAGCCGTTCATTTGCGGGGCTATTCGAGCAGCTTGCATGACTTTCCTGGCCGGACATCAAAGTCAAAAATGTCGTCGACGAAAGAGGTGCAGGACGAGTTGGAGCAGCAACAGGCGAGACACATAAGAAAGGCGTATGTGACCTACCTCGATCGTGACCTATCTGGCTACCCTACTACACGCATCACCCATCAATCGTTCGTTTGCTCTGAATCGACGTACTGTGGATGCGATCAAATGCAGCGCGATATCAGGATTCGATTTGAACGGTTTGGGATACCACAACGAGTGGCAGCGAGCACTACAAATGTCGAAAGATTTGTACGCGACTTCGATGCACCAGAAATCTACCAGCGGTCATTTCGCTAGTGCAACTCGTCGGGATGCTGGCTACGTGTTCGGCTGAAGAAGAAGGATGGGTAGTGAGACTACCATGTACAAGTACAGCACATCCGTTTATCTGCCTTACATACGGAGTGACTCGTGCATCTTCCAACCGCAACAATGGTGTGGTCACGGCTTGATGCAGTTGCGGCACACTCCACCGAGCCTACCGGATGCAGCCACCTCCCAAACCCATATTTGATCGTTTATGGCGGATCGATATGAGCGGCTTGGGCTCTGCATCTTTGCGAAGCGAAACGCGCAACTCAAAAGACGAGTCAAAAGAAGCATGCTCGATATGCAAGCTTTACGAAACGTACACTGCGGCAAAGGGTTGCGACGGTCGGTCAAATGCATTCATTGAGTTGGACAGGCTACTTCGTTTCTCGAGGCTTTTCAAAGTGTCATGCTCCATTCACAAAGCTTGCGACGTGAAGTCAATATACAACAAATGGAACTGAGAAGGTGATTGAAGTTGGCAAGTGTGAGTGTCTTGGATCCGTAAGTATGATCAGCTAGCGTAAGCCGTCAGGTCAAACGAGTTCGGCAGCATGTTGCAGCGGTCATATACTTTGATTCTGGCAATCTACATGACACCATTGATCCGACTGCCACTTGCACCACACGTACATCCATAGCAACAACTTGGGTCGCTTCCCCCGCTGCAACGCAAATGCTTTTTTGCCACAGACACGCCTCAAGGCACTCGACCTCAGATGGCTAACGTAACAGCCAATCTCATGCTGTATAGATGCAGCGCGTGCGTACCTTAAGTCCAGCTGTCTGACAGCAATCAGCATAGAAGCATTGTTTATTCTACCTGTAGCTTTTTGATTACGTTCCTCAATATACCTCACTTTCAACAACAACAACAACATATTCTACCTTCCTCCAAATATCAATTCAAAGCCACAGCCTTGCGATAGCGGGGTGTTTGGGAGCCTGAAGGCCTACCGTCTACAATCCTTTCTCTCGCTTCTTTGACAGCGAATGAAGGACCGGATGTCCGCGCTTTACAAGACTCATGGCCTGCAAGCAGCTAGGTTTGCCTTTCTGGCATACATGCATGGGGTCAAGGACACTATGATCGTTTATAGACACGGCATAATCCAGAGTGTGTCTCTAGACTCTAGACAACATCGTCAACTGCCATTCATTTGAAACAGAGCCTCTTCCATAGGAGATCCTGTAGCTGACGAGGACTTCTAGCATCAGCAGACCACATAAGGTGTGTCGTCACACCTCCGACAGTCCGGTTGTAACCACTCCATGGACATTTGGAGCTTTATGGTCATCTCAACAAGTCAATGGGTCATGTACCTGACGGACCTACACCAGGCCACTCAAAGCACATCCACATGTACCTTCACAGTGCAACAGCAGCGGATAAAGACGGTAGCGACGCTCTCCCTCCAGTTGCGGCCGCTGGGGCGCAGCAGACCATTAGGCGCTCCTATGTGTTAGAATACACCAGGCGGATGATGGTACAGAGGACTAGATGCTGAACACGATGCAGCGGATGAGGGGCATGACCACAGCTAGCAGGGCTCGTCAAATTGTACAGAAGGGGACTTTGAGCTATGTTTCATCAGTCTATGAAGCACACGTGAAGAGAGTTAGTTGGTTCAGGAAAGCTGCAAGATGCGACAAAAGTCTTTGGACACAGCCTTCCCGACACTTGTTGATGTTGCCATCGCTCGAAGTCAGGGGCAGGACTACTGAGTAGTTTCGATTGGTATCGCTCGCACAAGGCCGAAACAGGGAATCCACGTGCTGCGGCCT